CTGATATAACAGAACTCCCTACTATAATATATCATTAATTACACATTTCAACTGCAAACAAAGGTAACTATCTGAGGTGTCAACAAATGTTATCAGGGTAATAACTATCGGAGGTGTCAACAAATGTTATCAGGGGTAATAACTATCTGAGGTGTCANATCTCAGCTGTCACAAAAATAATGGTAAGTTAAAACTAATCTCAGCTGTCACAAAAATAATGGTAAGTTAAAACTAATCTCAGCTGTCACAAAAATAATGGTAAGTAAAAACTAATCTCAGCTGTCACAAAAATAATGGTAAGTTAAAACTTATCTCAGCTGTCACAAAAATAATGGTAAGTTAAAACTAATCTCAGCTGTCACAAAAATAATGGTAAGTTAAAACTTATCTCAGCTGTCATAAAAATAATGCTAATTTAAATCATATCTCAGCTGTCATAAAAAAATCTGATATAACAGAACTCCCTACTATAATATATCATTAATTACACATTTCAACTGCAAACAAAGGTAACTATCTGAGGTGTCAACAAATGTTATCAATGATAATTATTATCTAAGGTGTCAACAAATGTTATCAGTGATAATAAATATCTGAGGTGTCAACAAATATTATCAATGATAATGAACTATCTGAGGGGTCAACAAATGTTATCAATGATAATTATTATCTAAGGGGTCAACAAATGTTATCAATGATAATAATTATCTGAGGTGTCAACAAATGTCATCAATGATAATGAACTATCTGAGGGGTCAACAAATGTTATCAATGATAATGAACTATCTGAGGTGTCAACAAATGTTTTCAATGATAATAACTATCTGAGGCCTCTTGGTTATTCAGAAGGAGTTGTTTAAATGATTACAACATATTTGACCCCAGTGACCTTGAATAAACTATCTGAAATGACAAGAAAGATAGTTTAAGAAATAACAGGATTGCCAAAGAAAAGTTTAAAAACATTTCAGCATTCAACAATAAATATCTGAGAATGAAGATTACATGATGCTCAAACACTGGTATAATTGTTACAAAGCTTAACATTACCTTCTGTGATTTCCTTCCCGTTAAAGTACCAAAATGGTCCAATAGGTTCAGCCTCACTTTTGAGGGAGTAACTTTTACAGGAGAACTCGGCGTCTGTGTCCTTAGGTGCCACCACATTTTCCATTTGGTTTGGGAAGGGTTGAGGTCGCGCTAAAAACACAGTAACCACATTGTTAGGAATCGGTTGGAATTTCATCAGCAATCAGTGATTACCATTAATTAACCAATGATCAATTGAGAACATTTTTAAAGGACATTGCATAATCCTCCATGTTGTGAGCGACATGTAAATGAAAATAATACAAGAGGCCCAATGGTCCTGAATCGCTCACCTGGTTTTAATCTCACACTTGTTATCTTAAAAGTGGACTGAAATACAGCTACAGGCAGAATATCGGTGTTTGGATTCATAAAAACTTATTAAAAATTTTAACATATGACGCCTGTGACCTTGAATGTCGAACAAGGACATTAGGTTGAACAGAGTTTATAGTCTTCAAACCAAGCATGCTTCTAGCAAAATATCATTACCCTGGACCTTTTGGTTATACAGAACAAATCATTTAAATATTTTTTAAGACAATTGACCCCTGTGACATTGAATATTTGTCAAGGTAATTCATTTGAACAAACTTGGTAGCCCTTGATACCAGCATGTTAATGGCCAAATATCATCACCCTTGGCCTATTGCTTATTAAGAAGAAGTCATTCAAAGGTTTTAAACATATTTGACCTCTGTAACCTTGAATATAAGTCAAGGTCATTCATTTGAACAAACTTGATAGTCTTTCATCCCAGCATGTTACTGACCAAATATCATCAACCTAGGCCTCTTGGTTATTCAGAAGTTGTTTAAAGATTTTCACATATTTGACCCCTGTGACCTTGAATATTTGTCAAGGTCATTCATTTAAACAAACTTGGTAGTCCTTCATCCTATCATGTTAATGGCCCAAACATCATTATCATAGGCCTCTTAGTTATTCAGAAGAAGTTGTTTAAAGATTTTTTAAGACAATTGACCCCTGTGACCTTGAATATTTGAACAAACTTGGTAGCCCTTCATCCCAGCATGCTTCTGGCCAATTATTATCACTCTGGGCATTTTGGTTATTCAGAAGAAGTTATTTTGGGCCAGGTGAGCTAAAAATGTAAGAAATTGTTCCTTCATTTAACATCCAGTCTGTAATTTATACTCCTAAGTTGGCTTGAAAGTAAAAGTAAGTCAGTAATGGCTGAAAACTGTAAGAGGATCTGTCCAGACAAAAATGGGTCTGCCGACGGATGGACATCCCGATTCAAGTATACCCACCCCTACATTGTTTCGTGGGTATAATGCATAACATGAAATGATGGTGTATACTATACCCACCCTTACAATGTTTTGGGGGTATAATGTATAACGTGAAATGTTGGTGTATACTATACCCACCCCTACATTGTTTTGGGGGTATAATGTATAACGTGAAATGTTGGTGTATACTATACCCACCCCTACATTGTTTTGGGGGTATAATGTATAACGTGAAATGTTGGTGTATACTATACCCACCCTTACATTGTTTTGGGGGTATAATGCATAACGTGAAATGATGGTGTATACTATACCCACCCCTACATTGTTTTGGGGGTATAATGCATAACATGAAATGATGGTGTTTACTATACCCAACCCTACATTGTTTTGGGGGTATAATGTATAACGTGAAATGTTGGTGTATACCATACCCACCCCTACATTGTTTTGGGGGTATAATGTATAACGTGATATGTTGGTGTATACTATACCCACCCTTACATTGTTTTGGGGGTATAATGTATAACGTGATATGTTGGTGTATACTATACCCACCCTTACATTGTTTTAGGGGTATAATGTATAACGTGAAATGTTGGTGTATACTATACCCACCCTTACATTGTTTTAGGGGTATAATGTATAACGTGAAATGTTTGTGTATACTATACCCACCCTTACATTGTTTTGGGGGTATAATGTATAACGTGAAATGTTGGTGTATGCTATACCCACCCCTACATTGTTTTGGGGGTATAGTGGATAACGTGAAATGTTGGTGTATACTATACCCACCCTTACATTGTTTTGGGGGTATAATGTTTAATGTGCAATGTTGGTGTATGCTATACCCACCCCTACATTGTTTTGGGGGTATAATGTTTAACGTGAAATGTTGGTGTATACTATACCCACCCCTACATTGTTTTGGGGGTATAATGTTTAACGTGAAATGTTGGTGTATACTATACCCACCCTTACATTGTTTTGGGGGTATAATGTTTAATGTGAAATGTTGGTGTATGCTATACCCACCCCTACATTGTTTTGGGGGTATAATGTATAACGTGAAATGTTGGTGTATGCTATACCCACCCCTACATTGTTTCGGGGGGATAATGTATAACATGAAATGTTGGTGGATACTATACCCCCCCTTACATTGTTTTAGGGGGTATAATGTATAACGTGCAATGTTGGTGTATACTATACCCACCCTTACATTGTTTTGGTGGTATAATGTATAACGTGAAATTTTTGTGTATACTATACCCACCCTTACGTTGTTTTGGGGGTATAATGTATAACGTGCAATGTTGGTGTATACTATACCCTCCCCTACATTGTTTTGGGGGTATAATCTATAACGTGAAATGTTGGTGTATACTATACCCACCCTTACATTGTTTCAAGGTTATAATGTATAACGTGAAAGTGAAATGTTGATAATTTCTTTCTTGGTTTGGAGCTTTCAAAATTTTTCGTGGGTAAAATATTTTCAAGGTTAGTCACGTACAGCGAAATATATCAACTATCCGAGAATCACTGGTCCGACACTCTAATACATGTACATTTGCAGTATGTTTTAAAATGACAGAGTCACACTCATCATACTTCTATTTTCATGTCAATCCATTAAAATAATTTACACAGAGGTAAAGTAAATATAACTGCTGTGGGGGGAGTGTTGACACCATGCTAAGAAAACACTGACCTGTTCTCGGACAAATGAAATTATTTTGCATACGTTTCCTTCGTTGTCGATACATGGTCATAATTATACATGTACAATGAATAAGCCGATACTTTTTTGTGTGTGCACATTTTTGATCGAAATTAAGGTCATATAATTTTCACATATTCGTTGTGTATATTTTTTCGAGTTTCAGAAATATTATTGTATTTTTATTCATGGTTCCATTGCAACCACGAAAACAACGAACATTTCATGTGATACAGTAATCACCTATACAAAAGTACAAATCTATTTATAAATTGTGGTTACCTGTTACGTTAAGGTAAACAGTTGAATTGGAACTGTAGGTAGATCCTGTTTTTGTTTGCTGCAGGGCGATGCAGGCATAGCTCATTTCGTCTTCCTTTTTGAGTGACTTCACAACAAGTACCCTGTTAAAATTCTCCATCTCATACTTCGTACCATCACTCAGAATGTTTTTCCCAAATTCAGTTCTCCATGAGATTGTTGGCAGTGGACTGTTAAAATAAAAATACTGAGTTTGGTACTGCAGATGAGAAAGCAGAACCAATACAGAAACAAAACAAGAGCTACACATACTCCAAACAGATCTGTATTTTCATATGTTATAATTTATTAAACAGAAAATCAATACAAACTCTGTCAGTATGACAGGCTATGTTAAAGGTATAAATGATGTTGAGGGTTATTATTTTCTCTTACCCTGGACAGGTGTATCCACACTTTTACTGGTGTGAGATTTCCTTGTCTCTTACCCTGGACAGGTGTATCCACACTTTAACCGCTGTGAGATTTCCTTGTCTCTTACCCTGGACAGGTGTATCCACACTTTAACCGCTGTGAGATTTCCTTGTCTCTTACCCTGGACAGGTCTATCCACCTCTTTTACTGGTGTGAGATTTCCTTGTCTCTTACCCTGGACAGGTCTATCCACCTCTTTTACTGGTGTGAGATTTCCTTGTCTCTTACCCTGGACAGGTGTACCCACACTTTTACCGGTGTGAGATTAATAGAATCTCAACCCTCGGGGGAAGATACTTAAGTTGCCAACATGAGGCTTTAATTTATATAGAGGAATCTCAACCCTCAAGAGAAGATTCTTAAGTTGTCAATCACAAGGCTTTTTCTCTTACCTTGTTCACCTACTGTGTATCATATGCTTAGTGCAAAGTTAACGTTACAGGCTAAATTCAGGGTTGACGTGACATTGATGGATTGTTGACGCGACGTCATACCATTGTTATGAATAGAGGAATGAATCCCCCCCCCATCTCAACCCTAGGGTGAGATAAGGATATGCCAACAATGCCTCAATGTCACGTCAACCCTGGACTAGCCTGTAACATTAACATCATCTCCCTGGGAGAACAGGGTAAGAGAAAAGAATCATTCACCCCTTGAGGCGTGATTGGGATTCCCCTACCTCATCCCAAGGTGGTGAGAGATTCTATTAATCATACAAGAGGCCCTTGGAGATTCTATTAATCATACAAGAGGCCCAAGGGCCTTAGCGGTCACCTGAGTTATATTATAGGTACTGGTAGCTTTATTTTATTGTTTAGATGTGATGTGGAAATCAGCTGAAAATGGATAAAATATACCCAAAAGTGTTATTTCCCCATACAAACTATAGTAAACTTTACCCCCTCCCCAAGGGAGAATGGATAGCTCGAGGGTCCTGAAATTTACAATTTACATAAAGCCCCTGATGATCTTTCTTTCCATGCAGAGGAAATTACTGTAGTACCTCTGAGTCTGGAGAAGAAGATTTTTGAAATATTGAGTAGATACCCTGTAACACTTACTAGCCCAAGTAGATACCCTGTAACACTTACTAGCCCAAGTAGATAGCCTGTAGATACCCTGTAACACTTACTAGCCCAAGTAAATAGCCCTGTACTGGCCCGAGAAGATACCCTGTAACACTTACTAGCCCAAGTAAATAGCCCTGTACTGGCCCGAGAAGATACCCTGTAACACTTACTAGCCCAAGTAAATAGCCCTGTACTGGCCCGAGAAGATACCCTGTAACAATTACTGGCCCAAAAGATACCCTGTAACACTTACTAGCCCGAGTAGATACCCTGTAACACTTACTAGCTCAAGTAAATAGCCCTGTACCGGCCCGAGAAGATACCCTGTAACAATTACTGGCCCAAAAGATACCCTGTCACACTTACTAGCCCGAGTAGATACCCTGTAGATCCCCTGTAACACTTACTAGCCCGAGAAGATACCCTGTAACAATTACTGGCCCAAAAGATAACCTGTAACACTTACTAGCCCGAGTAGATACCCTGTAGATACGCTGTAACACTTACTGGCCCGAGAAGATACCCTGTAACACTTACTGGCTCGAGTAGCTACCCTGTAGATACCCTGTAACACTTACTGGCCCGAGAAGATACCCTGTAACACTTACTAGCCTGAGAAGATACACTGTAACCTTGCTGAATATCCCAGGAGGCCGGTTGCGTCTTTGCTGTATTTTACCTCTACTGGATGTAAAGGTTCATCGTCTGTAAAAACGAAAACAGTATGACTTAATAACAAGTACATACAAGAGGCCGGTTGGACTAAACAACTTCCCTTTGCATTGTTTACCTTATAAATATATAATCACATGATACATAACTAATCACATGATACATAACTAATCACATGATATGTAACTAATCATAGCAATATATTTGCATTCAAATAAAGATTGACCTTCATTTTAACGGCATGTTTCCTTTCCTGTCAAAGAAATTTAAATCTGCATCGATTTGTTTTATAATTAGAAATAATAGATCATGAATATGTTCCATGTATCTAGATGTTGAAGGGACCAAGCAATGGCCAACATCACACTGTTATCTCGCTGAATTGTGAATGGTGCCATATTTGAAAAAACATACATGCCATAACTTTCCGGTGCAAAGCAGTGAGATCAGTGATTATTTTTAGTGAGATTTGGTAAAAAACAAGAGGCCCATGGGCCTTAACGGTCACCTGAGTCTACAGTATTATTATTTTTGTTGAAATATGTACCAATTTGAGTAAAAAATAGTGTAATGTTAACTTAACTTTGTCAGGACCATGAGCTGATCATTCCTACCAACTTTCAGTTCAATCGGCCCAGCAGAACTTGACTTTAAGTTTGAAATAGGTTTTCAAAATGGCGGCCGTGGCGGCCATATTGGCTTTCTGATCGACTGAAAAATAACAACACTTTGTCAGGACCATGAGTCTATCATTCCTACAAACTTTAAGTTCAATCGGTCCAGCAGAACTTGACTTTAAGTTTGAAATGTAAAATGTTAACGGACGACGGACGAAAACGGATAGCAATAGGTCACTTGAGCTAAAGCTCAGGTGACCTAAAAAGTGAGATTTTTTCTCTGAATTAGTGAGAAATTCACGAGCTTTTAAAATATATCTCAAAACATTGGGAAAATTTAATATTAATTTGTTGGGAAAAAATTAACCAGTAACTAATATTTTTATATATCCAATTCTGAAGAAACTTGTTTTCTTCTGTTTATGTTATTTTCATTAACACTCAATCCCATCCTGATGGCAAGAGAATGAGTTACAGATTCAATGACAGTGTCTGGATTCAAATTCATGGCCACCTCCCAACATTTCCGTTTCGGTAAACCATGTTTTCGATTGTAAAGAATTAACAGCTCTTATGTTGCTGTTTAATGTTAATATCAACTGTCATCACATATTAATTAGCAAGTAGCCCCCACTGGATGTGGGATCGCTGATATAATTGCTCAACAGTTTACACATCGGTGAGCAAGTCAGAACTTTCACACCTATGCTGCTAATTGGCCTGGCTGTAATTTAAGTGGCTGGTGTGTGACTAAATCAGACCTCTCAGTGACCAAGGTCAGTGTGAATCCATGTAGCTATTGTTTATTCACCAAGATTGACAAAATTTCATTTCTTTTCGTGAGACCGATTGAATTTCATGAGAAATGTGTCTCATGTAGTGAGGATTTCCCCCGAGCAGTTTTTGCGAGTCTCACGCCAAAATCGTTAGATATGGCATGAAAAAAGTAATTTTATTCTGCCAAGATTTTTTCAATTGTGTATACCCTAATTTATACACAGTCTGAGTTTATTTAGCTGAAGAAAGGAGATGTTAATATAGTTGTATGATTGCAGTTATTGAAAACTGATTAAGTTGGAAGGGGCACAAAATGAAGACACTTTCATAGATCTTTTTGAAGTTTCGGAATAATATTAGTTAAAATTTAAGTGACTTCAGGAAAGTCGAAAACAATGAAATGAACAAATACTAACGGGTAGTGACAACAAAGATGGATAACAAATACTAACGGGTACTGGCAACAAAGATGGATAACAAATACTAACGGGTACTGGCAACAAAGATGGATAACAAATACTAACGGGTACTGGCAACAAAGATGGATAACAAATACTAACGGGTACTGGCAACAAAGATGGATAACAAATACTAACGGGTACTGGCAACAAAGATGGATAACAAATACTAATGGGTACTGGCAACAAAGATGGATAACAAATACTAACTAATTCAGCTTATATTTATCACTTTTGTTGGACTGGATGTTATTTCAGCTTATATTTTTCACTTTTGTTGGACCGGATGTTATTTCAGCTTATATTTATCACTTTTGTTGGACGGGATATTAGTACGCAAGGGGGAATAATGTGGGAGGAAACCTGGAAAAAAACCACATGGTCGGTCAGTTGACCCCATACCTTTCCAGGTCCAGTAGGGGAATGAAATTGTGACCTTGACCCTGAGTAAGTTGCAACTTTCACCCTTCCCTGCACTTTACTAGATACTTGATCCTGGGGAATTTTACTCCTGCAGTACCTTCATTGTGTGTACTTACCTACAGTCTTGACGCTGAATTTTGTAGGACTTCCCTTGACCAGGACGGACATAACTTGGTTCCATACTCCGCAGCCATAGGTTAAGCCTCCACCCAGTTGATCGCCTCTTTTTAGATACAAGAAATGCATACTACCTGTTGATGACAAAATAAAAGTTGTCTAATGTCAAAAATACACAGTACTGCATATGTTTCTGAAATAGATCTCTCTGACAAAATATAGATCTACATAAAAATTACACTAATGGCCAAATAGTTTTTATCACCATACTTTATATTCCTTTTTTGGTCATTTAAGGAAGTGCCAGGTTATGGTGGTGGAGGAAAGCCAGAGTTCCCAGAGAAAAAACACCGACCCGCGGACAGTACCTGGCGACTTTACCTGGCGACTGCCCCAGGAAAGTCTCTAAGACGAGACCCAGTGATGGAGGGCTAGTGGTAGCAGAATGTCACACGCCTTTACAGTCTTAATTTTGAAGTCTGCATATGTCACTTAAAAGGTTCATTTAGCAGCAATATTAGATATATGTGAAAGTTTCATCAAGTCACTGCTATGTCAAAACAATATTCTTACCCTGAGAACAGAGACCAAAGGGCTTTCCATCTCGGTCACGTTTACGATACCTTGTTCATCACTGTGGTCAACAAGGGGAAGTAACTCCCACAGCACTAGCATCACCAGTGACCAAGCTGGCAGAATGTCAGTGAAACTGTCTGGGTAAGAACATTGTTTCAACATAGCAGTGACTCAATGAAACTTGCACATAAGTCTGCATATGATTTTGCAGTTTTCATTTTGGCTATCTGTTAGTTTTTTAAGATCAAAGACAGTGTATATTGCTTTCTACAGTCTTTCTTTCTACCTAAATACCCACCGGTCACTACAGTTATTTTGAATGCAACCAAAACAACATTTTAAACTAATAATTTTGGGCTCCACCTCAAAGAACTATGGTAAACAAGACCATACCTCTATATAACATTTCATGGACGTTTCATGTCCTTCAATGACCTTATAGCTGTTGATAGAACGCTAAATCCTATAAAACCAAACCCAAGGATGTTTCATGTTTTAAAACTTTTTTACAGATTCACAGGCACTGCCCTTCAGCCCCAGGGTAGCTAAACTCTTCTTTTATACAATAGGAGGCCTAGCTTAGAAAGCTAGTAACACAGGCCTGGATATTATTCATGGCCAAATACTCTCATTAGAAGTAGCATTGCAAGTAAGACCCCTACTCCAACAATGTTAGAGGTTTTACACGGCGAAAAACTTTTGACAGGCGCCGCGTAACCTCTAACTGCCCATAGCTGATTTTCCCGATGCTGACGATCACATTTTCAAAGTTCGGATTAAGAAAGAGTATATCGTGTTTACATACATTTAAATGGTCAAAAGGGTCCAATAAATATTCCTTTCCATAAATTCATGATTATTTGAAAACATTTCGTGTCAAAGACATAAATAATGAGTTGTTCCTCATTCGAAGCGAAGCAGACAGCATTTGCCATGATTTTTCCGGTTAATACAAAAATGGATTACATGTAATGCTTCACAAGTGGAATACAAACAAACTCTGTATCATTTCGTTCCGTTTGAAATCCCCCCTGCTATTTTGTATTAATCCAGAAGCAGTTTTAAATGTAGGTCAGAGGTGTGCTACAACGACATGGACATGTATTTTGAGTGTTCTATTCCGTAATATACTATATATTTGTGTCTGTGACATACATATGAGATCTATATTATATATTACGTGAGTATACATCGTTGTCATGAACTGTTAACCACTTAGGTGAGTTTTTCAAGCCGATTTTGTTCCGCCCGGATTTCGGGCGGAAACTGCATCAAAGAATTAGTGCTTCGGAAATGAGAGGTCGCAGTCGGCAAAATCATATCTGATTGAAAAAAGGCCGACTAGCGGCCTCTCATGTTATGGGAGTAGTAAGACCCCCAGGAAAAGGGCCAGTCCCCAGGGCAAATCCTATTATCAAAATCTGAACTTTTCAGCAATTGTGTATTTTGTTATAGGGTGGGAATCTCAAATGTTTTCATTTTATACCAAGGGACTAAGTCCCTAAGGGTGGGGCAGTCCCCAAAAGCCAATTCTGTTAGCATGATTGTGTTCATTTCTGTATGTCCAGCAACTGCATATTTGATTCAGGGATTGGGATCTCAACATCTTCAAAGTAATGACCCAGAGACTACACCTTCCAACATGCAAATTTGGTTCCTGACTCCAAAGGATGAGATGCAGCAAATTCGGATGAAATCTGATCGAGTGTTAAGACAAAATAATTAATTTAGCTGTTCACAGACAACTGCTGTTGTACCATGACATAAAATCACCAGTCCTTTGAATCAGGTGAGCAAATAAACTACCAAGGGATGATTCATTAATTATTTGAAATGGATGGACAGATATCAAATATCTGAAAGTTAGTTACCATCTTCGCTAAAGGCAACTCGGTCAGTAGGAGTAACGCTTTTGTCAGTCCCGTCGCCGATTTTCCACTCTGTACTGCAAGCTGCTTCCGGTACGCACCTTGGACGTGACACACACTTTAAAACTTGATATTTGTATTCTTCTTTTAGTCCCAATTCTTGTGACTCGACTGGGAAACCATTCAAAACTGTAATCAACAAGCAACATGTATACATGTATAAGGAACACATGATGTGTGAATTATATTTCCTTTACAAGTACTCACTGACAATAAACAAAGTAAAGATGACTTAAACATCCACTTGAAGGCGATCAGCAATATTTATTATGATGTTGAAATGTTTCGACACTTTAGGTGTGCCGTCATCCTGGTTTTTTTTTTTTTACAAATATTTTATTCCCCCAGACATTTTTTCATAAATATGTATATACATATACTGCTTCAAAGCAGATATATATATACAATGTACATATATAAATATTTTGATAGGGGATGCCAGGGTTGGGGAGCCCTGGAGTCAGCCCCTGAACAGTATGGTATCCTCATCCTGGTTCTTAGACGGCACACGTATTGTGTGGAAACATGTCAACATCGTAATAAATATTGCCAATCACTTTCAAGTGGATGTTGTCCAGTCATTTTTAATTTAGATTTTTAACTTTTTATGCTGGACTACTGAATTCTATTAAGAATCCATTCATGTAAGGCTACCAAGCATTACAAACTAACAAAACACTGACATTGGATCTCATTTGTTTCCTACTAGTGACACTGTGTCATATTGCTTCTCATTTCTACTCTGTACTACCGTATAACTTCTCTACAAGTCAATTACTGTAAAAATGGTAACAAATCGGTGAGATTCAATTTCCCTATATTTACAGTAAACCCATATTTTACAAAATTATATACCAAGTAAATATCAATACTAATCACAAGCAACATTTTAACAGATTAAACTCATTCATTCCTGACGATGCATTTGAACTCTTCTAATTAAAAGGTCGGAATAGTTCATTATGAAATTTCAGGAGTGAATGAGTTAAGCTGTTCTATGTTTGTAACAAATCTATGACCTTTAAAATGAGCCGAGGCTAAAATTATTGAAAACAATCTTGATTACAAGCAAGCTAGTATATTACTACAATAAACTTTAAAGCATGTCATCAAAGACAAATCAGAGGCCAAATGTCATCAAAGACAAATCAGAGGCCAATTGTTATCAAAGACAAATCAGAGGCCAAATGTTATCAAAGACAAATCAAAAGCCAAATGTTACCAAAGACAAGTCAGAGGCCAAATGTTACCAAAGACAAATCAGAAGCCAAATGTTATCAAAGACGAATCAGAGGCCAAATGTTATCAAAGACAAATCATAGGCCAAATATTATCAAAGACAATCAGAGGCCAAATGTTATCAAAGAAAAATCAGAGGCCAAATGTTATCAAAGACAAATCAGAGGCAAAATGTTGTCAAAGACAATCAGAGGCCAAATGTTATCAAGGACAAATCAGAGGCCAAATGTTATCAAAGACAATCAGAAGCCAAATTTTATCAAAGACAAATCAGAAGCCAAATGTTACCAAAGACAATCAGAGGCCAAATGTTATCAAAGACAAATCAAAGGCCAAATGTTATCAAAGACAAATCAGGGGCCAAGTGTTATCAAAGACAATCAGAGGCCAAATGTTATCAAAGACGATCAGAGGCCAAATGTTATCAAAGACAAATCAGAGGTCAAATGTTATCAAAGACAAATCAGAGGCCAAATATTATCAAAGACAAATCAGAGGCCAAATGTTATCAAAGCCAAATCAGAGGCCAAATGTTATCAAAGACAATCAGAGACCAAATGTTATCAAAGACAAATCAGAAGCCAAATGTCATCAAAGACAAATCAGAGGCCAAATGTCATCAAAGACAAATCAGAGGCCAAATGTCATCAAAGACAAATCAGAGGCCAATTGTTATCAAAGACAAATCAGAGGCCAAATGTTACCAAAGACAAGTCAGAGGCCAAATGTTACCAAAGACAAATCAGAGGCCAAATGTTATCAAAGAAAAATCAGAGGCCAAATGTTATCAAAGACAAATCATAGGCCAAATATTATCAAAGACAATCAGAGGCCAAATGTTATCAAAGACAAATCAGAGGTCAAATGTTGTCAAAGACAATCAGAGGCCAAATGTTATCAAAGACAAATCAGAGGCCAAATGTTGTTAAAGACAATCAGAGGCCAAATGTTATCAAAGACAAATCATAGGCCAAATGTTATCAAAGACAATCTGAAGAAGCTTTGAGATGTTTCTAGATATTTCACCCCTGTGACTTTGCAAGTGGGTAAAGTTATTCTTTCAATCAAACTTATGACTTTTTCTTTATATAAGACTTAGACTTGGTCATGTTACTTAATAAGCATGTTCATAAATATGTTAAATTTAAGAATCCATCTGAATGTGAAAAGTCACTTAAATTACCATGTACCGGTATAAGGTAAAGATTGATTTCAATGATGCTACTGTAATAGATTAAGGGTAAACCTTTAATACTAACCTGGCATTATGATAGAGAACATTGAAGACATGGCTACTCCCTTGGAGTTGGTAGCAAAACACTGATATTCTCCGTATTGATTGTACGTGGAATTGGAAACACTGATAAAGAGTGTGCCGTTATCGTACAACGTCCTGAACTGGTGGCTTTGGATTTGAATGCCATTTACTTTCCATGAGTATCTGCAATATCAACATAAAAGGCATCACAAGCGATACAAATCCCCGCGCATTCACACATTGTGTGACATATGTACTAGAAAATGAATAGAAAATTCAATGATGTATCAGTATCTGCCCTAGCGACTGCATTCTTTGATGGATAACAGATTTATATTCAATTGAGAAATGAAGTCCATAGAGCGATGAGTTTTTCTAAAAATAGTGAAAGAGACCTTGACCTTCAACCAAGAAACTCGAAATACACACATGTTCAAGGCATTGCCGTATAAATCATTTGTATGAAGATTCATGAAATTCCGTTGAGGAATGAAGTCGCTAGAATGATGACAAGATTTTTTTTCTAAAAATAGTAACAGTGACCTTGACCTTCAATGTAGAAAACTGAAACGCGAACTTGTTCAAGGTATTGACAAACTAAACACTTGTAGTATCATGTTTCATGAAAGGAGGAATGAAGTCGGTAGAGCCAAATACAGTTCTCTACAGCTGTCTGTGCTTTTGTATTGGGAAAATCAGGAATATATTATATGTACATATGTATATATATTAAAAACAAAAAAATAACAATAAAAACATTCAAAACATGTGTCAATGCATTCATTCAAAACATGTGTCAATGCATTCATTCAAAACATGTGTCAATGCATTCATTCAAAGACAAAAATTATTCAATTGAGATGAAATGCATATCAATGGAAGGGACCAATTTCTGACCCGATGTACAGACTGAAGGCCCCCACTGATAATAAGATATTATGTTAAATAATGGATATACTTTGGTGCACATGGTATTACCAGAAATTTTGTCACAGTGAAGCTATAAAATTCCAGATAAATAGAGTTTTGTCATTGATGTTGGTGCTGGGGTACTGAAGATTACTCACACTGGTTCTGGATATCCATCAGCTTTGCAGATTTTACTAAATTTGACATTGCCATTAAGACTGAGATAGTACTGCTGTTTGAAGTCGGACTTCATTGAAGGTGGTGTCTCTAGCGCTGCAAGAGATCAAATTATCAATGTTAACACACACAGTCATTTCTTGGTATTCCAACAAACCTCAATGTTAACGGAAATATTGTAGTATGCAATTATCTCCCTTTTTGATATAACAATTGAAACACAAACCACAACCATAGTGTATTGGAGTACAGTCACACTTATAAGTAGGGATGTGGCATTCCATCACAATACCAGGTAAAGAGGGAATTTTTATTAGAAGGAAATATTGGGATATTTAATGGCTTCTTAAATTTTTGTTGTCCATTTTATTTAGAATTCTCGTAAAAACTAGAACTGTAAGCCAAATTAAATTACAAAGGCTAACTAATACCCGTAGCTCCTATATAAACCAAAACTGGACGGTTATATAAAGGCTAACTGAGGCAAAGCATTGCAAAGCAATCCATAGTCTCCCACCAGTAATGATTTCTTTATTCACTGATCAGCTGTACACTTATTTAAGAATAATGTATATAGGTCGCTGACATACTTCCTGTACTCCCTCCCTCCCAATGCCAAAACATACTTGCAAACCAAATCTTGTTAGCCCAGGTGAACCAGTTTGGCTGAAATCGTCCTAGTAGTTAAGGAAGAGTTGTCAGGACCAAGATTTTTAACAAAGGGCCATAACTCCATAAAAAAAGGTTGGAAAAAAATACCTGGATGCACAACATCAGGGGTAAGTAATCATATCTGAAAACTTCCGTTGAAATTGGCCCAATAGCTTTGGAGGAGTTGTGTGGACAAATATTTTTCAAAAAAGGGTTATTATTACTCTGTAAAAAAGGGTCAGATTGAAAATATAATACAGTGCCTGGATGCACAACATGAGGTAGATGTTATTATTTCTGGAAAGCATTGTTGAAATTGGTTCATTACTCTAGAAGGAGTTGTCCGGACAAACTTTTTCTACGGACGGACAGATAAGCTGATTACAGAATAGCCTCCTAACTTCGTTGCGGGGTATAGAATTAGTTTAAAGTGAACTGTAAGTACAAAAGTCACCAGTGGAAATAGTGACTGCTCTCTTTTCTATATACTTACACTGAGCATGGCATAACATCACGCTGCTCCCCACGAGGAGGAGGGGGAATATCCTAACCATGTCGGACAGCTACTGTTTATCTGAAAAAGATTAAGAAAAGTTCACATCATATCTAGCATTCAACAGACACATAGTCATTCAGATGCATGAAAGCACACTTAAAACTGTTTTGATTCAACAAGAAAATGTATGCGTAACAGAAACAAGAGAAATGCATGGCCAAACCAGGATTCGCACCCGATGTGCTACCAATTGAGCTGCATACCGACAGACCTAATGAAATAAAACAAACACTTCTATCAACACCACCTCCAGTATGTTGTGGAGGCATACAAGTTTGTTTTACCTTGAAAGACACTAACTTTTACCTGTATGATCTTTTATATATATCCACTCTGTAAGCCCGAAACAATACATGATGGTATCTATTATATATCCACTCTGTATGCCCAAAACAATACATATGGTATCTATTATATATCCAGTGTGTATCCCCGAAACAATACATGAGGGTGTTTATTATATATCCACTCTTTATGCCCGAAACAATACCTGATGGTATCTATTATATATACACTCTGTATGCCCAAAACAATACATGATGGTATCTATCATATATCCACTCTGTATGCCCGAAACCATACATGATGGTATCTATCATATATCCACTCTGTATCCCAGAAACAATACATGATGGAATCTATTATATATCCACTCTGTATGCCCGAAACAATACATGATGGTTTCTATTATATATCCACTCTTTATGCCCGAAACAATACCTGATGGTATCTATTATATATCCACTCTGTATGCCTGAAACAATACATGATGGTATCTATTATATATCCACTCTGTATGCCAGAAACAATACATGATGGTATCTATTATATATCCACTCTGTATGCCCGAAACAATACATGATGGTATCTATTATATATCCACTCTGTATGCCCGAAACAATACATGATGGTATCTATTATATATCCACTCAGTATGCCCAAAACAATACATATGGTATCTATTATATATCCACTCTGTATGCCCGAAACGATACATGATGGTATCTATTATATATCCACTTTGTATGCCCGAAACGATACATGATGGTATCCATTATATATCCACTCTGTATGCCCGAAACAATACATGACGGTATCTATTATATATCCACTCTGTATGCCCAAAACGATACATGATGGTATCTATTATATATTCCCTCTGTATGCCCGAAACGATACATGATGGTATCCATTATATATCCACTCTGTATGCCCGAAACAATACATGACGGTATCTATTATATATCCACTCTGTATACCAGAAACAATACATGATGGGAGCTATTATATATCCACTCTGTATGCCCGAGACAATACATGATGGTATCTATTATATAACCACTCAGCTGGAAACAATCCCGATATGTCACTCTTTTTTACTTCAAATTTATTTGAGGATTTTATCTTGCTCATATTTATGCACTCAACAAACAAGTTCTTTTAACTTCATTAACATAATATTTTTCCAAAAGTCACAGGTAAATTACAAAGATCTATTATATATCCACTCTGTATGCACGAAACAATACATGATGGTATCTATTATATAACCACTCAGCTGGAAACAATCCCGATATGTCACTCTTTTTTACTTCAAATTTATTTGAGGATTTTATCTTGCTCATATTTATGCACTCAACAAACAAGTTCTTTTAACTTCATTAACATAATATTTTTCCAAAAGTCACAGGTAAATTACAAAGATCTATTATATATCCACTCTGTATGCCCAAAACGATACATGATGGTATCTATTATATATTCACTCTGTATGCCCGAAACAATACATGACGGTATCTATTATATATCCACTCTGTATGCAAGAAACAATACATTATGGGATCTATTATATATCCACTCTGTATGCCAGAAACAGTACATGATGGTATCTATTATATATCCAGTCTGTATGCCAGAAACAATACATGATGGTATATATTATATATCCACTCTGTATGCCCGAAACAATACATGACGGTATCTATTATATATCCACTCTGTATGCCCAAAGCAATACATGATGGTATCTATTATATATCCGATACATGATGGTATCTATTATATATTCCCTCTGTATGCCCGAAACGATACATGATGGGATCTATTATATATCCACTTTGTATGCCCGAAACGATACATGATGGTATCCATTATATATCCACTCTGTATGCCCGAAACGACACATGATGGTATCTATTATATATCCACTCAGCTGGAAACAATCCCGATCTGTCACTCTTTTTTACTTCAAATTTATTTGAGGATTTTATCTTGCTCATATTTATGCACTCAACAAACAAGTTCTTTTAACTTCATTAACATAATATTTTTCCAAAAGTCACAGGTAAATTACAAAGATCTATTATATATCCACTCTGTATGCCAGAAACAATTCATGATGGTATCTATTATATATCCACTCTGTATGCCAGAAACAATTCATGATGGTATCTATTATATATCCACTGTGTATGCCCGAAACAATCCATGATGGGATCTATTATATATCCACTTTGTATGCCCGAAACGATACATGATGGTATCCATTATATATCCACTCTGTATGCCCGAAACGACACATGATGGTATCTATTATATATCCACTGTGTATGCCCGAAACAATCCATGATGGGATCTATTATATATCCACTCTGTATGCAAGAAACAATACATTATGGGATCTATTATATATCCACTCTGTATGCCAGAAACAGTACATGATGGTATCTATTATATATCCACTTTGTATGCCCGAAACGATACATGATGGTATCCATTATATATCCACTCTGTATGCCCGAAACGACACATGATGGTATCTATTATATATCCACTCAGTATGCCCAAAACACTACATATGGTATCTATTATATATCCACTCTGTATGCCTAAAACAATACATGATGGTATCTATTATATATACACTCTGTATGCCCGAAACAATACATGACGGTATCTATTATATATCCACTCTGTATGCCAGAAACAGTACATGATGGTATCTATTATATATCCACTCAGCTGGAAACAATCCCGATATGTCACTCTTTTTTACTTCAAATTTATTTGAGGATTTTATCTTGCTCATATTTATGCACTCAACAAACAAGTTCTTTTAACTTCATTAACATAATATTTTTCCAAAAGTCACAGGTAAATTACAAAATGCAGTACAACAGATAAAATGCCAACAAATGCATTTTGTATAATTATAAGTTACACAGGTAAACATATCTGTGCACTGTTCTAAGTTGTTGGAAGGCCTCATATAGGTATAAATTAATATTATGTTCACAGGACCAAGGACAAGGTGATATTATATATACTAGCTACCTGGTTGCAGTCAGCTGGTCCTAACATATATAGCTAGGTATTATTGCTTTTTAATTGTCGTATAATAACCAAGCTGTGCGAGTTAAACATGACTGCTTTTATTGCTTTTTGTATTCACCTGGTTAGAAAAGTTCTGCCCGACTGCTGGTCCTAGCCAGACACTACTATATATTGCCAGTTGCATTTATATAAACGACAGTTCTACATTTAAATTTCCATATTGAGAATGATTCTGATGAATTAATCTGAATTTCAAACACCTGATGAGTGTAACTGGATAACCCGAGTACATTTTGTATTAGTGAGAAAAGTTTTCATCCGAACCCAATAATCGTAAACACGTAACTCTTTCACCACTGTAGACTATAATGGACTCATCCAGAACAATACATGGTAGAGTCTACTTTAGTAACATATGCATCAATGGGTGAAAGGGTTATATGTTGCGGGAATGAGACGTCAGGAAAGTAAATAAAATGCAGGACCTGCTAGTTTAGGTAACTTTCCAGCGTAACATAATTATATTTCAATGAAATAAATTGCCCATCTAATAAGCCGTAAGCTTTCTCGTGAGCTGAAATCAAGCAGGCTTTGTGTGATCTCTCATGTGTCTGTTATACATTATCAATAAAGACAATCAATAATGTTGTTTTTTCTGGAACCCGACCGATAATAAAGGGGGCAGAATTTGTTATTCATATCTGATTTTACCATCAACTTTTGTGTCTAGCAAAAACACTAAAAACACTATTACAAAATATATGGATTATTTTCAAAATAATCAATACATTTCTACAGAACATGGATCGCTTTCAAGATATATCTGTTACAGTGGAGAAGTCCTGCTACATGCATATGTAGGGTATTGCTTTAAACTGGCCAACAGTTTTTCTATCATTGTTGTTATTGTGTACATATAGTACACAGTGTGGGTGGAGCAGAGCTAGATACAATATGTACACAGTGTAATATGTGTTTTACCCGACATGTATAAAAGTAATCAATGATTTGACAAATGGCCTGGATTGTACATGTTTATGCATCTATATTACTAATAAGTCTGTTTACAAACTCATCAGTACTTTAATTAGATGTCTGTTTACGAACTCATCAGTACTTCAATTAGATGTCTGTTTACGAATTCATCAGTACTTTAATTAGATGTCTGTTTACGAATTCATCAGTACTTCAATTAGATGTCTGTTTACGAACTCATCAGTACTTTAATTAGATGTCGGTTTACGAACTCATCAGTACTTTAATTAGATGGTCTGTTTACGAACTCATCAGTACTTTAATTAGATGTCTGTTTACGAATTCATCAGTACTTCAATTAGATGTCTGTTTACGAACTCATCAGTACTTTAATAAGATGTCGGTTTACGAACTCATCAGTACTTTAATTAGATGTCTGTTTACGAACTCATCAGTACTTTAATTAGATGGTCTGTTTACGAACTCATCAGTACTTCAATTAGATGTCTGTTTACGAATTCATCAGTACTTTAATTAGATGTCGGTTTACGAACTCATCAGTACTTTAATTAGATGGTCTGTTTACGAACTCATCAGTACTTCAATTAGATGTCTGTTTACGAATTCATCAGTACTTCAATTAGATGTCTGTTTACGAATTCATCAGTACTTTAATTAGATGTCTGTTTACAAATTCATCAGTACTTTAA